TAAGCAACATAATTAAACAACATTAAAGAAATGTATGCATTAAGCACTATAATGTTAAATGTTGCTCTATGAAGCTCCCCCACAATATGGAGAAATTAACTTAGCAAATATTTATAGTTTCTTATGTACCAGGTGCTGGAGATACAGCCATGAACAAAACAGGTAACTCCGCTGTCATGGACTTTATACTGGTGGGAGACAATGTTCACTTACACTTACTTGTACAAAAAGTTACGGGAAGATGGGTTCTTTCTGGAGCACGCCCACACTTTTCTTCCTTCTCAGTCACACATCTCCTAAACTTTAAGGTTCCCCATGAGACTTGCAACCAGGGGAGCAATGGGCAGCAGCAGCTTTGTCTGGGGCTTCCCCCCTGATCCAGTCCCCTTTTCTTTGACTTTTCAGTGAGCTAGCTGACAGCAGCCCTGCCTTGGTTCACTTCTGTCCCTGTGACTTTCACTTCTCAGCGAGTCCACACTGCCCTGCATCGCTCACTTCTTTCCTTGAACATTTCTAGAGAGCCACAGCAGCCCTGCCTCGGCTCTCTCCTGTTGCTTCTTCTATCCTAAATCCTTCTTTTGTTTCACTGTCCCCAGCTTTCATAACTGTCCTTTCAAAAAAAAAAAAAACTTAAGGAGAAAAGAAATAAATCTAGGTGACAGGATAGGTATGTATGTACGTGTACATTTACAAAGATCCAGGAGAAAAAAAATCAGGAGCTATTTGGGACATGTTAAGTTTGAGATGCCTATTAGATATCCAAGAGAGGAGACGTTGGATAAACAGCTGAATATGTGTACATGGAGGAAAGAGCCCTAGTTGGAGTGGGTTCAAGAATAAGTAAAAAAGAATTAGAGATAGAAAATGTGATCAATTCTTTCTGAGGAATTTTACTAAAAAGAAAGAATTGAAAACTGAAAAAAAAAACATCAAAAAAGGGGAAGAATTAATAACAACTGGGAGAAACACTGCTGAAGCAGTGTTCTTGAGTAGGCCTTGCTAGCAACTTAGAGCTCATCCACAGCAGCAAGGAGAAGGGAAGAGTTCATGGGTGCAATACAGGTGGGTGGGTCTACATGGTAGCAGAAACCTGTGAAAATGCTCTTCTCTTTGCCTCTATTTTATGAGCAAAATAGTAAACAAGGTTATCATCTGACAGTGAAGATAGAAAAGGTGCAGCATACTTAAAGAACAAGAAGATATAGCTATGCAGGAATGTAGAGAATGAATGGACTAGAAATAAAGTGTAATTACCCAGCAGTTAGAAGTCAGTGTCTAAGAAATTAAGTGAAACAACACTAGTTAGCATGGCTCTGTGTTTCTTTCCATGCAGTATGAAGCACAGACAGTTGAATTCAACCCATGGGTTACACAAAAGTATGATGAAGCAACACAAGGCAGTAGGAGAGTGTATGCAGGAGTGATTATTACAATTACAGTGGTTAGAAGTAAAACTGGGTAAGGAGGGAAGTAATGTGAGAGGGGTGAGAGTGAAAAGATGGTAGGATCGATAAATTATAGGTCTGTTGGAGTAAATAAACTGTTAGTGTTAGGAATTAGAGGGTACTGGTTGAAAGGAAGAAAAGAATATAGTCAAACCGCCAGATGCATGAAGCTGCAATTCTGGAGTGGTTGTAGATACTGGTAATGACGAAGTCCTGGGTGTGGCTATGAGAGTAAATAGCTGAGATACTTTTGAAAGTAAGATCACAGGAGGAGAAAAAGGAAAGGAACTAAGTGGCTGCTTGGATGTCTGTGGAGATGTACTCACTTGTGTGTGCAAGGTCAACACTATAAAACATTATTTCTAGTTGGGCAATCAATAAATAAAAGCCACTGCCTCAATGTTTCACAAACTTTAATGTTCATACGAATCACTTGGAGATCGTGTTCAAATGCAGAATCCGATTCAGTAGATTCTTTTTTTAAAATTTTCATTAATTTTTAGAGAGTGAGAAGGGAAAAGGGGAGGGAGGGAAAGAGAGCTATTTATTGATGTACTGTTTCACTCATGTATGCACTCATTGGTTGACTCTTGTGGTGAGCCCTGACCAGGGATTGAACCTGCAACCTTGGCATGTTGGGACAATATTCCAACCAACTGAGCTACTGGGCCAGGGCCACAGTAGATCCTTTAACAAGCTCCCTCATGATACTGATGCTGCTGGTCCAGTGCAACAGCCCTTAAATAACCTTTGAGCAGCAAGGCTCTAGTCTGGACCATTAATTTAACTGTATCCAGGAAGCTATTTATTTATAAACTGCTTCTTTGATTCACATCATAACAATTTTCACTGAGACAGCAGTCAAAGGGTAAGGAATATCTCACAGTATTTCCTTACTTTATGGTCTTTTATTTCTTCTTTTCTATCATTTAATACTTCTTAGTCAGGACCCAACCTCAACTTTTCACCTTTCTCTATTTATCAAGCAAAGACAAGTAAGCAGCAGAATCAAGACATTGTCTTACGTCTATTTTAGCAAACATTCTAAAGTTCTTTTTAAAATATGTGCTTATGACCTGTTAAATTATTTTTATGTCAGAAAAATATACTGTAATGGGTGTCATAAGGTAAAGCAGTCAGGGTTGAACTAGAAAAACAGAAACCATACGTAAGTATTGTATTTAAAAGAGAGAATGGATGTAGGGTGCTTACTACAGCAAAGGAAGAGCTGAGAAGCCCAAAGAGATGATAAAGCAACTTAGAGACTGGCAACATCGGGAAGCTGCTACTATCCCTAGGCTGGAAAGACAAAGACAGAAAATCAGGGTTTCCAGAACTTAGAAGCCAGGCCATCAGCAGGGTTTGTGGGAATGGGCTTGGGCTAGAGCCATGGAGGACATACAGCTAACCCATGCAGAGGGAGGAAAGCCTTGGCTTCTCTACTTTTAGCCTTGCATACCTGGTGCCTCCTGTCAGCAAACCCAGAGGGGAGTCAGATGGTACAGTTACACGAGTTAGTTTTCCAAACAACTGCTTTTGGTCTAATCCCTATCTCCTCTTCACAAGTATATAGCCTGTGCCAACTTCTGACAGCAGGCTCAGGCCCATCATCCCCATCAGGCATGTTATAACAATTCAGAAACTCAAATAAAAGCTTCAAGGAAAAGGAAGACACTTTTGTTTAGTATTCTATACTAAAACCAACTGTTTGGCTAGTTGCCTCGGACTGAGCCATGCCTAATAGATAGCTACCAAGGTTCAGACTTATTGAAGAAAGAGCAGATTATACAGAGAAATGAGTTCACCAAAGATACTATGTCATGGGGACCAGAAATAGGAATACTGTTTTACCTATCATTATCGTATATACTTAACACTATCAAAATAATAATGAAAAAAATGGAATTTGAATATTCTTATTGACAGTTGCTACTACTAAGGAAAGATTTCAGTATGTCCACACAGTACATGTGGGTTGGTTGAAAACTATTAATTGATCTAGTAATTTAATTCATAAATTCTATCTTTGATTTGGTATTTTAAAAATATACAAGAGTCCTAGCTGGTATGGCTCAGTGGATTGAGCACACCTGCCTGCAAACTGAAAGGCTGCCCGTTCGATTCCCTGTCAGGGCACATGCCTGGGTTGTGGGCCAGGCCCCAGTTGGGGGGACGCCAGAAGTAACCTACTGCTGTTTCTCTCACACACCAATGTTTCTCTCCCTCTCTTTCTCCCTCCCTTCCCCTCTCTCTGAAAATAAATGGATAAAATCTTTAAAAATCCCCTCATTGTTACTGTTATCATGTTAATTGTTGACTCTTGATTATCCTGTATCCACCGAAGTAAAAGAGATATGTGTCTATCATTTAAAAAAATACACAAGACACGAGAATAAACTTGCCTGCAACAGTGAATTAATATATAGAGAGAATAAGCAGTCATGGCCTGAAAAGATATGTCAAACTATCAGTTGTAAAGTCTAACTAATTACCAAATACTTTATTTTTTTATAGTTGACTAATTTCAACTTGTTAATGGGCTACAGCCATAGAACAATAATTTAGCTTGATTTTTTAAAAAATCCTTACCTGAGGATATGTTTTTTAATTGATTTTAGAGACAGAAAGGAGGGAAGGAGGGAGGGAGTGAGAGAGAAAGGGAGAGGGAAACACTGATGTGAGAAACATTCATCAGTTGGCCACGAATGGGGGTGGAAACTACAATCTACACATGTGCCCCCACCAGGGATTGAACATGCAACCTTTTGGTGCATGGGACAACACTCAAACCTATGAAGCCACCAGCCAGGTCTCTGGCTAGGTTCTTTAGCTTTCAGGGTATAAATATAATTTTTTAAAACAAATATAGACCCTGACACAGTGTGCTTATTTTAGGTTTTTAGATTTTCACATTTTAATTTTATACTTTTTCACATTAATGAGTAATATCACTAATAGTAATAGCCAGTATTTGTTGACAACTCCTTATCAGCAACTGTCTCATTGATTCTTTACAACTGAGGAAACGAAAAAACGCTGGACAGTAGTTTTTCTTGATAAATAATTACAGGTGAGCTTAGAGCACTTACCATATTGCCAGGCACTGTTCCAATGCTTCATATTTGTTAACTCATTTACTGCTCACTATAACTTTTGTGAGATTGCTACTACTATTATTCTCATTTTACAAATAAAGAAATTGATGGAGTGGTAAAGTGGCTTGCCCAGCTACTTAATGGCAGAGCCTTAATTTGAACTCTGGCAAGTGGTCCAGAGTCTTTGCTTTCACCCTTGTGCTACACTGACTCTCATTTGTTTCATCAGTAAATGTAATAAAAAATATTAATGTCTTGCTGCTTTCCAATCACTTGTATAAAGTTCACAATATTTTACTATACTTATATTTCTTAAAAGGGATGGAGACCGACCTCTGCACAGCAATAAATTGAGTTTCACTGATTTTTCTCATTACTAATAGACTGGACCCCTCTAGGCACATTCCATTTCTATTACCCAAAACTTTTGATTGCTTATCATCTCTTTTGTAAAACTTACCAATAGTGAGGTCATGCACTGGCTGAAACCTCTTGTCTGTAAACTGTAGCAATAAGCATGATTTACCAACACCTGAAAGTTAAAAAAAAAAAATTAAGATACAAAACTCAAAGAAATTAAGAAACACTTTATAAAAGCACACGGAAAACAGGGAGCCAGCGTTTCTGATGATCTATGAACAACTTACCATGATTTCTCAGTGCTCTAATTTCTTAGGACTGATAATTTGGATGGAAGGTGTTAATCAAACCAAAACACCCATTTCTCATCCTTTTTTATTCATTCAACATTTCAATCTGAAAGATAAAAGTGGCAGTACTCCTTCGAGGTAAGTGAGATCCTCCCAGTAGCCTCTACTACAGTACTTATAAAGTGTTCACATACATTTCCTTTTTGTGGTGTAGTGAAAAATATTTAAAAACCATTTCCTCTCTTTGTAGTTTATCTTCGTTTCTAAAAATAAACAAATAAGCTGGCAGTGTTTGGATCTACTTTTCTGTAAAAAGCTGTTTGCTCTATCTTCTGACTAATACATCTCAGGATCAATTCTAACCTGAACTGCATTCCTTCACTCTACCACCAAATTTCACCTCATTAAGTTTATGAATAACTTCCACATTCCGAAATTACAGGCCTATTTTCTATATTCATCCTACTTGCCCTGTTATGAGAATTGTATATTAAACATCAACAGCACCTTCCTATTCATTTTCAGGCCCTTATCTTCACACTAGACCAAGTCTGCTTACTGAACAGCATCCTGTACTTCTACAAAACAGTAAATGCAGTGATCATTCCATTCACTCATTCGTTCATTCATTCATTTGCTCACTCACTCTTTTTTTTTAAAGATTTTATTTATTTATCTTTTAGAGGGGAAAGGAAGGAGAGAGGAGAGAAACATCAATGTATGGTTGCCTTTCATGCATCCCCTGCTGGGAATTGGCCTGCAGGGAACTGGTCTGCAACCCAGGCATGTGCCCTGACTGGGAATCGAACTGCGATTGTCTGGTTCGCAGGCCCGTGCTCAATCCACTGAGCTACACCAGCCAGGGCATCACTCAAGTCTTTACTGAATGTTAACCACGCACTGCACTGATCTGAAGAAACAAGTGTATGGAAAACTGTTATGTTTCCTTTCTCACAGTCTAATACAGGTAGAGAAATTAAACAGGCCAAATGCCCAAATCATCTACATGAACTATAATTTGGAATAATTACAATAACCTCCATTTGAAAGAAGGTTCAAATGGAGGTTATTGTAATAAGATGTATTAGATGTATTAGATGATCCTTGGTGTTACTAAGATGAGTAACAGAAGAGACTTAATTTAGACTGACAGACTGGCGAAGTGACAGTTTAAGCTGTTCAATGACTTCTGAATTACAAACTCATGAGAAGGACAATGAATATCTCATCACTTGCTGTCTTATGGGAAGGATAAGACACTTAATTTTGCTGAATGATTGGCCCTTGTATCGAATGTTATACAGACTGTCAAAATTCCCAATAACAAATTTTTAAAAAGTCCTATATATAGATAGTTCTGTTTCAGGGAACATTTTATTTGTTCAAAGTTTTTTGAATGTTTTAAAATTTTAGTTAAATGAAAATAAACTGGAATCTCAAAACATTCGACCTTAGTTTTCTTCTGTTCCTTTTATCCATTATTTTTTAATATTATAAAATGCATAAAGTCTAACTCATGTTATAAGAGTTCTAACTCCTTTGAACAGCTTTTCAGGTCTAGGATAGAAAGGAATGTATTTTTAAAGTGGGAAAGTACATAACAGGTGAATAACTGAGATATAAATCTTCAGTTCTTTTTTTAAAATAGATTTTGTTATTTAAGAGCAGTTTAAATTCATAGCCAAAACCCAGCAATAAGTACAGCAGCAAGTTCCCATACTTTCCCTGCCCGGTATTAAGCACAGCACCTCTTCCACTATCAACATCCCACACCAGAGTAGTAAAAATGGTTTTGTTACAATCAACGACCTACACAGACACATCATCACCACTCAAAGTCCTTAGTTACATTAGGGTTTTGACAAACGTATAATGTATCCACCATTACAGTATACCTACACCGCTCTAAAAATCCCCTCCGCTCCATCCGTTAGTCCCTCCCTCACCCCTTACTCCTAGCAAGTACTAGTCTTTTTACCATCTCCATAGTTTTGCCTCTTCCAGAATGTCATATAGCTGGAACCATACAGTATGTAGCCTTTTCAGTCTGGCTTCTTTCACTTAGTAATATGTATTTAAGTATTCTCTGTGTCTTTTCTTCATTTCTATTTTTAACATCCCAAATTTTCCCACATGGCATAAAAAAATATAATTAGAAATCACAGATTTTATTACTAAAGAACCTCAAGAATCATCTAACAGCCATTTAAGTGATACAAGAGCCTGAAAACCCTTTCTGACCTCACAAGAGAATATGCAGTGCTCTAGTAATACCAACATCACTTCTGATCAAGTGCTGATTAAACACAGAAAATGCTTATCCTGTGGTTCTTCACTTTCAGGAATCCACATTCTTTCTTCAGGTAATCAAAGTATCTTCGAATGCAGAGAATATATCCAAGTGCCATTGTAATGTTCCCCAAGTATCCTTAATTTTATTGCAGGCCATTTATTAGAGTCAGTTATATTTATAGACAGCTTTTATTCAGTGTATTTCTTGACTTCTATTTTAATTATGGAGAAACCTGTCTCCAAATACTTTTGGGGTGTCTGACTCATAATCACCAATGCTTTTCCAAATCACCAAACTGAATTACTATATTGTCAGACTATAAGATGCACCCCCCCCAATTTGGGGGGAAAAGGATGCATCTTATAGTCCAAATGTAGCTTGCCTGGCTCGTGGGAGGGCGGGGGCAGTGGCAGTGGCACAGGGTCACAGGTTATTAAATATTTTACCACATTTTTTGCTTCAAGAATTTTCCCCTTATTTTCCTCCTTAATACTTAGGTGCGTCTCAAAGTCCTAAAAATATGGTAGCTAGTCTTCTCTTAGTTCTCATCTTATTTGATCCAAAAATAGGATCTACTTGTGCCACAAATCATAGTTTATCTGCTTACAAACTCCTTGAAAATAATCTCTTTTGGCTTTATCAGGCTGTAACTATCTCCTTGGTTTCTTAATTCTGTGACAGTTGCTCCTCTTTGTTTGTGAAAGCCTTAAATACTGGAGGTTTTTTCCACCATCCAATCTTTGATTACCTTTTCAACTAAGAGAACTCTAAAGCCTCAACTCAATTCTACAAATTAGTCAGTGATTACCTAATCCATCTCTCCAGCCACCATTTTAACTTCACTCCCATTATTTCCAACTGCCTACTCAACATGTCCACTTTAATTCCTTCAGGCCTGAAACTCAAAATTCCAAAACCCAATCCCTTCCTTTTCATTCACCTGCCACCATCCTCCCAACTAACAACTCAGCCTCTCCTTCATATTTTCTTATTTCTGGAATCACCTTCCCACGGATCACACTAACAAGAAACTCAAAATCACCTTTAATTCCTCATTTTCCTTTAAAATCAACTATATCACACTGCTTTATAGGCTCTCCCACCAGAATGTGACCCCCAACAGAATATGAGCTCCATTATGATGGAGACCACACTCAAGAATGTATCTCTAGCACATAATGGATACACAAGTGTTATAAAGCCTCATTCTATCCTCCTTTCTATTTTACTACAAAACTGTCTTAGTTGTCAAGTGGGAAAAAAAAAGAGGAGGAGAAAAAAAAGCATCTGAGACCTTGCTTCTTGGCTATTGCCATCAGTTTTCTAAAGGGCCAATCCTTATTTTATGACTGAGCATACTAATTTGAAACTTAAAGACAATTTTTACTGCATTTTAAAATCTAAGAGCATTTGTGATCGTAATTACTGTATTAAACCTGTTTTCAAATGCTCTATTGTATATATTAATAGTAAAACAATTAAATAAGCTATATCTTTGAATATTCAAGTTAAATGCAAGCTTAATTCAACAAACTTAAGGAACATCAATGCAGCTCAAGTAGCTAACCCCACAAAACTGATGCACAGACCTTCTGAGAGCTTCCATTGCATCACTGGTCAGATATGCAGAAAGGAGACCTTTAACCAAAGCACCAGGGCAAAAACCATTTTTTATTTATTTTCAATGTAAGCACATGTATTTCCAATGCTTGCCAAATGTCAGTCTTTCTAGAAACATGTGTCTGCTATGTTCTAAGTCTTAGCAACTGGAATTAATCTGTAAACATATTAAAGACAAAGGCTCTGCCCTTGTGAAGGAGAAAGGGAGAAGGAACAAACCTTTAAAAAATGTGTGTGCATATTTATGCGTATGTGTATATTTAGAGAGACAGAGAAAGAGAGAGACAAGGAGGGAATTGTACATTAGTTGTAAGATGGTAAGTGGAATGGTCCAGAGAAAACACAGCAGCATAAGGATGTGGGAGCTGGACAATGGGAGAAGGGAAAAGGATGTGGTGTTTAAAGGAGGTACTCTCTCACTGACAAGAGGAGGTGTGGGTAAAGACTAAAGGAGGCGAGGAAAGAGGCAGATGGATTACTAAGAGAATAGCACTCTAGGCTCAGGAAACAGAGGAAATGCTACCAGGTAATATGTGCTGGAGAAACTGCAGTAAGGCCAATTTGGCTAAAGGCTAGGAAGAGACATATCCGTAAATAGCAGACACTGTAGGACTTAAGTTTATGTGTAATAAAATGGGAGATACATTCTTTGGAGTGTTTTGAGCAGAGGAGCGATATAATTTGACTTAAGTTCTAACATTACTCTGGCTGCTACAATGACAATAATCTATACGAAGCAGATGAGAGAGGAAGCAAAAAGAATGACTGGTTAAAAGGCTTTCTCAATCAAGCAAGAAATGGTGGCTTAGACCAGGAGAGTCACAATGGAAGTGGTTCAAAGTTACTGAGTTCTGTATACATTTTTGAAGCAGAGCCAAGAGAATTTGTTGATAGTGTCGATGCAAATTTTGAGAGAAGTAGGTAAGTAAGGCTCCAATATTTTTTGCCTGATCAAATGGAAGAATCAAT